TGTGTGTGTGTGTGTGTGTGTGTGTGTGTGTGTGTGTGTGTGTGTGTTTGTGTGTGTGTGTGTGTGTGTGTGTGTGTATGTAAGTAGTGGCCTGGGACAAATGGATTTTGCAAAGTCACACTAAACAGTAATCACATCATCTTTGATTAAGGCAAGATAATTAACACATTTACTTTATATGTATCTTATTTTGAAAAGCCTTGCGATTATAAGAAAGCGCGGATGAATTTGTTGATTTGCACACGAGACCCAGACTGTTCTAAAAATACACGTAGAACTGTAATATCAGCAGGTTTCGTTGTGCAGCAAAAGTGAAAGTGAAATTCGGTTTAATTAAAAACATAGTATCGTATAATAAATGAAGCACAGCAGGAAACTTGTGCTATTTTAATCTCTTAGTTGTGATTTTAATAATTTCCCCACGGTTTGATTTGAGATTGATATTGCCTTCCACTAGGTTTTCCCAGTGAGGATGACAGAGGTCCCGCATTGCCACCATTTGCTGTCTGCTGACTGAACGGTACACGGTTCAAAGACACTTCACTTTGGGGGGTTTAGACCCTTTTATTGGACCGACCGGTCAGTGTGTTGTCTGGCAGAGAAAAGGAGACACCTGCTTGAGGACAAACGTTCACGCCGACGCACGACTCGCTGCTGCTGCTGCTGCTCGGCCTCTCATCCACAACAAGGTAAGCCTCCACTTCTGCTGGCTTCTTTTTGCACAGCTGCACATCCCGCTGCTCAGTAATTCACCTTCAACCACCGCTGAAAACACGTGTTTGTTTATGTGTTTCTGTCCTTGACTTCCTTTGCTCTCTTTAGTTTCTTTTTGTTCACAATTCAACGCTCTAATTGTGATACTTGCTGTGCTGCACTTTCACTCAATGGAACGCAACTGCATTGCATTTTAATGCACAACACATTTACTTTAAATGGAGTAAAAAGAAAACCGGTGAGCTATAAAATGTTATTACAAGCATGTGATACATTTTAGAAGCAAGCCCTAAACAAGGGTTATTAAGGAGAATAAAGAAACAAATAAAGAAACGAAATAGTTTACATGCTGCTTTTTGACCTATTTACAATAGTTTAATTATTTCCACATTATGTATTTATTTACAGCGCGCAGAGATGAGAGTTAACTGATGTTAATTTGATAATTAATATGTTTATACGTGAAAATAGGGAAACTATTAGATGCAGGACTTCACACTTAAATAACGTTAATGCTGCTGCTGTGAGATTCAGTGGTGTCCTTATAAAACCTCTCACTGTCAGCCTTCTAGAGTTTGTTTCATATTTCTGGTTTCTGTTTCGACATTTCCGGTGTTTTAAAGCCCAATGAGACCACACTATCAGCACAATATCTTTGGTCTAAATCCCATTTCTTAATCGATTCAGATCCACTACTGAAATGACTCCAGGTCATTATGGCGGAACACGTGATTTCACTTTAAACTATGAGCTTCGTTCATTATTTCTGTTCGTTGTCTGTGACCCCAATGTTGCCTAACCAAACATAAAAGCACAAAGCTCACTTAAGATAATTCGTTAGTTTTTTTTCTCCTCATTGCGTTTAATTTAATTTAGCTGTTGAGCATTAAATAGCAAAAATCTTTTAATTAGACATAAATATTTATTATACAATTTAATCTCCACACACCTTTAAGGTTTTTATATTGCTTTAGACCAAAGAGCTTTCCAGTTTTAGCCTATTTGTGATGACTTAAAGCCATAATGCACATTTTAGGGCTACGTTAGTTTCTTCAAAATGACTTAAATGTTCACAGAAAAGTTCTAATTTACTGCAGGTTATAAGTCACATCGTCCAAACGTATGGGATGTAACCAGACACAAAACCACCGAGTATCTGTTGGTGTAAACAATGCACATAAACTGCAGTAACTGTTCAATGTGCATTGCACAGCCCTCTTGGTCAAAGAGGCATCTGAACACCTGTGTAGTGAGAGAAACTACCCAAACACATATCCTGTGACAAAGACTGAGACGTCTCAAGTGCAGCTGCCCACCTGCAGAGACACCTGCAGAGACACATGAACGTCAGCACAGCCCATGTATCACGGCAGGTTGTGAAATAGTCACGAAATGCCATTTTGGTTTTTGTGAATATTGAAAAATAAATGTTCTGGTCTTTTTGTGTCGCCCTGGATGAAAAATGATGCCAATGGAAAGTCAATTAAGATCCTTATTCGTGGTGGAGACACATTTAATGCATCCACGTGACTAAGCAACAGTCTGAGCAAGAGACAAAGTATTTAATATCCAAAAAGACCCGTCATGGTGGGCGTGAGGGGAAGTGGATGAGTCCAACAAACACAGACACCATGTTGTGGGTTTTATGGTTGGGGATTTGTTGCCTCAACCTAACATTTGTCACAGTTTTCCTAAACCTAATTATGTAGTTTTGTTGCCTCAACCTAACTTTCTGTTTTTAACATAATGTCTTCCTGAAAAAAAAAGTTACACAAAACCAATAGACTGCATTTCATACATTATTTCACCAACTGTCGTGAGACTGTGTTGGCGATATTAGCAAATTAGAATTATTGGTATTTTTCACAGCAGACAGAGGTGTTATTAGCACCATTAACGATGGCTCCATTCTTAATCGTCCCAGTAAACCATGACGGTGTGAAAGTGTGAGAGACAACAAACTAAAGCAGGACCCTGAAAACTGAAGCCGCCGAATGAAATTCATTCACCATTTCATTCTTTACACCTGCGCTTCTCTTATTTGAACTGTGGATTGTCAAAATGTCTTCTATGGAAAATGTTCCTCTTGTTATTTATACATATATCTTAACTATCATTCAAAGCCAACATACATGCTGACAATTAGCATTATATTTCATGACAGTGGTGTGAACAAATGAAAAAAAGCCACTCTCAGGCTGTGATTTACATCTCCTACATACTTCGAGGCCTTTTCTTCATTTGTCCCTGTAAAATCGTTTGTCCCTGTTGTCCTTCATTAAGATATTTGACGGCGTCTTCTTTCTGAAGCCAGCAGCTTGCTTCCTCAGCACACAGCCTTTTATTCCTATTTATTTAACCTTCATTCAGTCCTCACTATCGAGTACCTGGTGCTCCTTTTAATGTAGCTGCTTTGTGTGTGTGTGTGTGTGTGTGTTTTATGTACGTGTGTTTTAATGTCTGGATGTGATATAAGTACCTTTTATAAAAGCAGATTTTGCGCATGCAAAGAAAGGAGTATTTGTTCTGCTTGTTACACGCAAGGAATTTCTGTTTTCTATTCTTTCAACAGTCACGCTGACAGAAAGGCTTTCAGCCAGACGCCTCTCTGGTAGCGTTCCCTCTGTCTTCTGTCTCCAGAGCCTAATGAAGTAATGGACCTGAGCGGGCTACAGACTACAAGATGAGGGAGAGAGCACGATTTTGGTTTTGAGCTGTTTTCAGGTTTTGGTGTATTTAAAGTTGCTGTGGTCTCTGAAGGTCTGGGTTCAGGCTGAGTTTGTTGGTTGGCCTTTGCCATCCTTCTGTTTTCCTGGATTGTGAGTTTAAATCTTGTTTATCAATAAATATTTTTTTTTTGGCATCAAATGGTCTTTACTTGAGCTTATGAATGTGTGTGTTAAGAAGTAATTGAGAAATTATTTCCGTCACATCTATATTCAGCAGCACTTTGATGTGATCAGCTGCGTGTCAGAATCCAACCTATTATATTATATGCTCGTATACAGTAAAACCCAGAACATCAAAAGAAAAGAACAGACGTCACTGTTAAGCTTCAGCAACCTCTCTTCAGAACAACACATTGTGTCTCAGTGAGATGTCCTCATGACGAGTGAATGCATAAAATAGAAAACATCTTTTGATTAGACACATATATTTACTGAGCAATAACTGGGAAAGCCCCGACACATTACAAGGGTTTCTTTTTACAGAGCTCTTACTTCATAAGGACACGACACGACTGCTCGACTAATACTGTTACTTAACTGCTGCCAGCCACTGGTTTACTACCAGTAGTGCTGGTACTACTTCTAAAACAACTAATACTCTTAGGCAGTAATTATCAATGGAGGGTGATGGGTCACCAGTTAACTTACTGCTGTTAATGTATCTGCTGCTATGTTACTATACAATTAACTGCTAATCGTGCACCACCGGTTGCTATTATTGCTTATTTTGCAAACAAGATATATTGATGATATTTCCCTTGATATATTTTCATTAATCAGATTTATGTGAGACTAAAGTCTGAAGTTGTAGAGTTAGTGAAGTGTTGCATATATTAAAAAGGAAAATTAACAATAAGATGTTGGTTATCATGATGCAAAAGCACCAATAAAGTAAAAACGTATTGACTTTAAGAAGAAAAAAAGATCTGTTAGAGTTGAAGTGATAGTTTGCAAAATACTGAGCTTATAATGTAAATGCATATTAGTTTTATACAAGTTTTTAAATCAAAATTGCAACATTTATTGCAAGGATGAAAATCATTTTAATGTTTAGGCAAATGCACACATTTAAAAGATGTTCAACACTGTCATAAAACACAGCGGTCAGCAAAATGTCAGATTTATTGAACCTTAAATATCTAATATCTAATATATAGTAAAATAAACATTTTCCCTTCAGATATGCTGTACTGTACCTCGATGTTATTGTTAACAACACTGTAGAATACCTGACTTTATTCTTTAAATAAAATTAGGGATTGATGCTTCATGTGCAATAATGTGTATCCAACCACTCAATCTGATTATATTGTATTTTTAGCTTTTGTTGTTTTTGTCCTTTACTGTTTGACTATTTATACTTGTTTCTTTGTTTGTTTTGTCCTACTGATGTCTCTTGTTGCACTATCCACTTTGCTGCTGTAATCATGCAAATGTCCCCACTGTGGTTAAATAAAAGATCTAGGATAAGATCTTATCTTCACCAATCCCCGTTTAGTGTGAATGCTTCTTTTGTCTCAGTCTGGACCTCACGAGACAGGATGGAGATAAAAGAAAAACATTTAAAGGGCTCTAAAGTGAGCCTCCTAAATGTCCAAAATGGGCTTTCAAGTACAGCTGCTAAGAATCGTCTGTGCTCCTTATTCGAAGAAAACTTGCTCTGAACATCGGGGTGGGGTTTTACAAGTTGAAAAATATCCAAGAGGTCTCATGACAGTGAATGCATGCCAAAGCAGATCCAGTTCGGGGCAGGCTCAAGGTCAAAGACTAGGTTCTCCTCACTTTGCGGAAGGGTATTGAGAGGGTATGGTTTCAGTGGGCGGGAATGAAGACATGTGGAAAAAGGCTTTTTTATTTTTTACAATATTCCAGTTTCTTAGTTTTCACCTCCAGGGCTTGGGTCACGATGCAGAGATATTAATTGATGATAATTACAGAGTTGAAACAACTCATTTGCCCCCATGTGGATTGAGAGAAGGGGGTAGCCTATACATTATTACCCTGTTCATTGTCGGTTTTGTTTATTCTCAGGCCAAACCACACCCTGTTAGAGTTTTTTTTAAGTATTTGAAATTGTCCATGTATTTACCAAGCTGCACCTATCCGTCACAGTCGGACTTTGGCTCCATCACTTCGCCGTTTTTAACGGAGAGCGGCGCCGCTCTGCTGGACCAGAGCACCGCTTCGGCGAGACGACTGTCCGACTGCCGGGGCTGCTGTCACCACGAGCCGCGGCAGCAGTATCCTCCTCCGTGGAAATGGACTCTCCACCGGGCGGAGCGTCCCATCACCTCTGCGCCGCCGTCCTGCGTCCGTTTGCCGGGGGATGCCGTTCATCACGAGTACCGGGGACTACGATCCTCGCTAGAGACGATGCTCAACCAAGACTTTCTGTACGGTGGAGCTGTTTACGGCGCCTCCGGTGCACGTTTTCACGCACCGGCGTTTCCCGGAGACCCGCGGGGTTTCCCCGGTGGATACGCGGCGTTCAATCCGGACTCAGAGCTCCTCTTCCTGGCAGGACGCACCAGAGTCCTGCCGCCGGTTTTCGACCAGTTTTTGGAGCACGCGGAGGAGAGAGTGGACCCGAGAGCGAAGATTACACCCGGGAGCCAACGGCAGAAAGAGACAAATCGGGCCCCGCAGACGAGCTGTCACTCCGGGGGGAGCAGCAAGGTGAGGGCGGGGTCAGAGTCACCACGGGCCGGGAAGGAGGACGAGGAGGATGCGCCGTCATCCAGCGGCAGTGGAGGAGACTATTCCCCGGGTAAGTGGAAGTCATACAAGGCAATGATTGCAAGAATAAAAATAGAGAGAAAGTATAATTCCTAACTGAGATTTTTGAAAGTTTTGAAAACCCCCATGTGCGATCACGTATATACAGACAGGGCCACGAGAGATGTGTCGGCCTTCAACTGATAAATAGACTATTTGATATCATCGTGTTTCAATAACATCATAATGATGCATAGGTATTATAATTTATTTTTCTTCCAACCTACTGCCTCCATGTTCTTTAACGTAAGTATTTTTGGATAAACTGAATGAAAATGTTTGCAAGAACCGGAAGAGGTCCAAACATGGAGCCAAGAAGAGTCATTTAATTATTGACATTTTGTCAGAAAATAGACTATTACTTAACACTGATATTTATGTGTTTGTTTAATTATTGTGTAGGCTGATAATATGTGTTTATTAAGTCTAATATTAGACCAGGTTCTTCTTTTCAAAATAAAGCTATGGGTACTAAATGTATTAACAATAACACAAAAAATGGAGCCTATACTTTTATATTCTACTTTCTTTTTACGCTACATTTCTAACACCTGAATGTATTTAATACAACAATATAATCAAATAGTTAGAGACTGTTGAATGTTTATACGTTTAAAAATCATATTTTTCATGTGAACTATTATTTTAAATTTGCCTATAGATGTGATTATTTATCTATTTCCATCAATACAATTAGTTATTATTCAATATTCTCTCCATTTGTTGGCAATTGTTACACCTCCAGCTGAAGGTTGTTGGTTGTTGAAAGAGCAAACAGTCACGTGGGCTACTAACCGTGCACGTGGGCCTACATTTGCCTGTGACTAACAAGATCTAGAACAGATCTACAAACGCAAACAGTAACTTGTCATGAGAGCTTTAATTCAAGACTTCATTACAACATTCTTAAGTTCATGTTAACTTCTTGAACTCACTGTTTTGACTTAGACCTTGACATTCAACTTTAATTCAAAATTAAAAGTAATTTCAGGAAAATTAATCTCCAACTTATACAATGAATGTAAAAGTTGTTGCACCATTCACAACAGTGTTGCATTACATTAATCATGTTCCAGACACACTCTAAAATGAGATTACGATTCTTGTGTATTTTTTGTTTGTTGACATATTTCTTTGTCACAGCCCTTTTCCTCTATATCATTCTCCCCCTCTCTCCCTCTCTCTCCAGCAGAGCCCCCTGTGAGGAGGAAGAAGCGATGTCCTTACTCCAAGCAGCAGATCAGAGAGCTGGAGAGAGAGTTTCTATTCAACGTCTACATCAACAAGGGCAGACGCGTGCAGCTGTCCAGCCTTCTGCGTCTGTCAGAGCGGTGCGTGCATGTTGCACTATTCCTTTAATCATGATTTATTTTAGTCTGCGCTGATTCACTGACTTACATTTGACAGATCTGCTGGGCCGAGGGACACAACTCAATATCTTTGGGTTTGGACTGTTCATCACACATTTCAAGATGTCTGAGAAGTTTAGATTGGCATTTTCACTGACTATAAAATCAAGAAAATATTTGGCAAATGAATTGATATCAATCAAAAAAAATGTATGTGATGATCATCCCTATGAATATTCTGCTAAAATACCCTCTAGCACAAATACATCAAGCATGTTGCTGTTCCTTTACTGATCCAGACAGGTGAAGATCTGGTTCCAGAACAGAAGAATTAAAGAGAAGAAGCTGAAGAGTGAGACACTGCTGTACCACGCAGGATATCACTTGTTCTGATGGACAGAGGAGGGAGAAAGAAGTAAGAGAGAGTTTTTATTCTAACGCCGTGCACAACCTGTGTGACAGCTCTGCATTATTCCAAGCAGGAGGAGACAGCAGATGACTCTAAGATATCACCATGAAAATTCCCCATTGAATACTAACATTAAGACAATTGTTTTTTGTATTTCAAGTTTTCTGAAAATGTTAAATGTGCAAATGATCCATTATTTTACCAAACATGTGCTCATTTGCATCCATTTGATAAAGCCAAATTCCGAATTCTTCTTTCATTTTGTTGACATATTAGAGTCAAAGGTTTCAAAAGAGGGAGTTAGGGATATCTCTTTGTATCCCTCAATAAATCTGAAAATACTGTCAGCAGCCATTAAAAATCCATTTTGGCCATGTTTTAGTAATACGATGTTGTATAAATCAGGCTATGAATGATATATGAACTAACCCCTCTGTGTGAACCTTCAGCACACAGAGAGGAGTTAAAGAGTGAAGTTTGGTGAATGTAAGAGCTGCTGAAGTGGAGATTTATCATCAGAGTCTGAGAACAAACTCATTCAGAGGAAACGTCCTTTAAAGAGACGTTTAGTTACATTACAGACATTTAGAGACTCTACAGGTGAACACATGAACTCATAGATATCACCATGAAACTTCACCACTTCATTACTCACATTAAGATGATTATTCTTGTTTTACAAGTTTTCTGAAATGTGATGTTTAAATATGCAAATGAGGGATTATGTAATGGTAACTTTTGGTGAATTTAGGAGAAATCTACAGACGCAAACAGTAGTAAAGTAAACCCCCTTAATGTGTATTTTGGATGTTTTCTTTCCACTAGTCTTAAAGATCACATGGAATCAAAATGACCCAAAATTAACCGGTGTATAACAAAAAAAGAAGCAATGTTTTTGCCTGTAGTGTCTCGCCTTAAAATAGTAAAAAATAAAGATACAAACAAACGAATAAAGACATCAATCCAGTTCCTTCCTGAGTTCTTCTAGAGCACAAACACATCCAGAGCCATCTCTCTAAAGTCACATGTGTTATTGTGAAGAAATGAACCTTCTCTCTGCCGGTCGGTCCTTCCTGTCCGTTAAAACAAATACATTCTTTATCCTTTTCCTTAAAAACAACAACAAACAACTAAACATCGGGAAACCTCAAATACTCGTCTGTGGAGCATCGTGTTTTTGATTTCACATTTTTGATTGTTGTGTGTTTTAATGTTGACCTGCTGACAATCTAATATGTGTTATATTAGGTATCTTTCTATCTGTATTGATTTTTGAATTATAAATCCTCTTAATGTCCACGTGAATTTGTTTATGATTAAAATGTAAATAATGGCAATATACTTATTCCTCAAAAAACATCTAATTTAACATGTAAATATAATCATTTTAGGCAAGCGAAGACAATCTAAACTCATCATTCTGATACCGGCTTGATATTGTTAGTATTGAAAGTGACTGCATGAAGAAAGCAATATGAGTTCAATCATGTTGTGTTGTGTGATGAGTTAAATGTGACAAAGACAATCAACGAGCCTCGATCTTCTTCTTTTGTTCCAAGTGTTTCCTTGCATTTACTGCAACATTTGGATGTCATTATATTCATGTTTTATATATCAATACATGTACACTTGTAATAAAGACAATGTAATAAAAAATGTTTGCTACAACATCTCGATAAGAGGAACTGTTTGTTTGTTTTGAAAAAGCTTTGAGGGACTTTTTCCAGGAGTGTGTAATCCTTCATTTCATGTCAAAGTTTTAAATGCATTTCTAATTTAAAAAAGGAAAATCAATGCAGTATTTAGAGGTGAGATTTAGTCTGATTGTGAATTATAAACACCACCTCTTACACAAACCAGTCAACGCTTTTCAAATTTGCTCTGTAAAATAAAATGTCTTATGAAATCAGAGAACAGCTACACAAACTACTAGCTATTTTAAATGCTACAGTGTAAAACCATTCACAGGATGTTGTCTGAATGCTTTTTATACAATAAAATGAAACATGTATGATCACTTCTGCACCAAAAAAAGGCATTCCCAGAAGCTCAATTAAATTAGGCTCTCATGTTAGTTGGATGATGCCCTGAATCGTAAACTCAAACAACTAAAAAGCAGATTATTCAGCAGGTAGCTGCTGCCCCATGTCCCATTGATATACAGTTTGAGTGAAACTATCAAAGAAAACCGGTGAAAGTAGTAAATAGCCTCTTTTGTCGTGCATTTCTGGACCCAGACAGCGGATACACACAGTGAGTCCAAGGCTGCAGATGAACCTTGAACCGCAAAACAACCACAACACACCACACCGTCACAACCACCATTTCCTCCACGTAAAGGCTTTTTATTGGGGCAATACAGACCGTCTGCTGTCCCTCTCCTTCTCTCTTTGTCTCAGGCATTCACTCAGTCTGTGTGAGAGCACGGCTGTGTGTGTGTGTGTGTGTGTGACATAAAAAAAGAAAGACAAGGAGATGAAAGGAGAGATTGTGTTTGGGTTTATTGTAGGTCATTGGTTGAATGCCTTGAGTTCAAACTACTTTTTATTTGTATTTAACCAACACAGGCATGTTTCAAACGGATTTATTTATATTCCTATTATTGCCAAGCATGGAGCCGTTACAATCTTAAAGAAATGGATAATGTGATGACAGTAATCACATACAACTGAAAGTAGGCCTGGAAACACAACTTGTAGTTTAAGCACAAACAGTTATTGTAGTGCAAAAAGTAGTAGGAGTAGTTATAGAAGCGTCATCAGCAGTAATAATATATGTAGCAGAAGAAGTGGTATTTTAGCAACAATATTGTTGGAAAGAGAAGAAGTGGCAGCATATCGCAGTAGTAGTTGTCTTGAGATTTGTAGCAGTAGTTATATTCCTGCCAGCTGAAATAAACAGTTGGTACCACGAACAGAAGTTGTTGTTGCAATAATAACAACGCTTGTTTATGAACCACATTTCATTCCAGATGGAGGAGAAATATGTTGCACGATGCGTCAGCAAACACAGACGTTTCAGCCATCGACACTAAGATAAAACATAAGTAAGCTCATATTAAAACAGATACATAAATGATACGCATATATAAACATATATATACACTCATATATACTGTATATATATATATATATATATATATACATATATATATATACAGTATATATATATATATATATATATATATATATACTTTATATATATATATATATACTGTATATATATATATATATATATAAACATACACATATACACACACATATATATATATATATCCACACACACACACACATAGATCTATATAGATCTATATACAAACATACATATATACACACACATTTACAGAAAGGCGGGCAGACGGACAGACAGCCAGACAGCCAGACAGACAGGCAGGCAGACAGGCAGGCAGGCAGACAGGCAGGCAGGCAGGCAGGCAGGCAGGCAG